CTGAACCGCCGCCGGGTCGTCCCTTTATATACACAGGTTGACGCCCGGCCGGTCTACAAAGCCACGAGGCCGACTCATACAAAGTGCCCGGCTCGGTCTCTCCTTTCCTAACTTATATTACAAGTTTACATAGTCATGGCGGTTTACCACTACGGGCCCTAATCCGCCTTTGGGCTGCGGGCTTCTAAGCCTCATTAGTAAAATGCCATCTTCTGGATCTTCATGGGCTTCAGCATAGTCGAGGGTGAACCGGGCCCTCCTGGCCGGTTTACACTCAGTACCTATATCCTCAACACTATCCAAGTGCTCATTTGGACAACAACAGCTCTCCTACCTAGGGCATGTGGTCAGCTCGGAAGGGGTCGCGACTGAGCCTAGCAAGATCGCTATAGTCAAAAACTGGCCAACACCTACAGATGTGAAAGAAGTGAGGCGTTTTCTCGGCTTGGCAGGGTATTATCGACACTTTGTTTGCCACTTTAGGATCATTGCAAGACCTCTTTTTAACCTTCTGAAAAAAGGAACACCATTCGTTTGGACTGAGAGCACTCCAGAAGCATTTCGTTGTTGAAACAACAGCTCATATCAGCCCCAGTGCTTGCTCTTCGGATTTCATGAAGCCATTTGTGGTTGAGACCGACGCCTGTGACGCAGGGATTGGAGCCGTCTTGCAGAAAAATGGTCATCCTCTGGCCTTCATGAGCAAAGTGTTGTGCCCACGGTACTGAGGACTATCCACGTATGAGAAGGAGTACCTTGCCGTTGTGGTGCCAGTCGATCAATGGAGACCGTACCTGCAACACAATGAATTTGTGATTCACACGGACCAAAAGAGCTTGGTCCATCTCGAAGAGCAACGGTTGTCAACACCCTGGTAGCAAAAGGCTTTCACCAAGCTCTTAGGCCTTCGTTACACCATCAAGTTCAAGAAAGGGGTGGATATTAGCGCAGTCGATGCCTTATCCCGAGCTACTCATTCAGATTAGCTGCACACTATGTCTTCCTGTCAACCAGCATGGATGGGAGATATTATTGCCAGTTACATCATTAATCCCCAAGCACAGAAGCTTCTTGAGCAATTGGCTATTCGTCCTGATTCCAAGGGTCGTTTCTCACTGGAGCAAGGCATTTTGAGATTTCATGTGCGTATTTGGTTGGGAGGCAGTACGTCCATGCAACAACAGATCATTGTAGCATTCCACAACATACCCATGCGAGGGCACTCAGGATTTCCGGTGACTTATCGGCGCATCCGCCAACTTTTTGGCTTGGCCAAAGATGAAAACTCACGTTCTGCAATATGTGAAGTGTTGTCAAGTGTGCCAACATGCCAAACCTGATAGAGCTGCATATCCAGGCCTTCTTGAACCTCTACCAGGTCCGAAGGAATCATGGGAATTCATAAGTATGGACTTCATTGATGGGTTACCTCAGTTTGGGCACGCCAATTGCATACTAGTTATAGTGGACAAATTCACTAAATTTGCTCATTTCCTGCCTCTCGCACACCCCTATACAATATCGAAAGTGGCTTTGGTTTACATGAATCACATCTATCATCTGCATGGCTTCCCTGGTGCAATCATATCAGATCGTGACCCTGTCTTCACAAGTCACTTTTGGCAAGAGCTCTTCAAATATGCCAGCACTGGTGTGAGAATGAGCGCCGCTAATCATCCTCAAATGGATGGGCAGACAGAGCGAGTCAACCAATGTCTCGAGACGTTCCTCCTCTGTTTCACTCAAGCTTGCCCTCACCGTTGGAGGTATTGGATCCCCTTGGCACAATACTGGTACAACTCTTCCTTTCATTCAGCCATTGGGATGTCTCCATTCCGAGCTTTGTACAGGCACAAGCCACAACAATGGGGGATCACCACAACGTCTGCCTGTTCTATTCCTGCACTCTGTTCGTGGCTTGATGAAAGGGCTACGATACAACAACTCCTGCAACAACAACTTCATCGCGCTCGCAACCTCATGAAGCAGCAAGCGGACAAGAAGAGATCATTCCGGTCCTTCGATGTTGGTGACCAGGTTTTCCTCAAACTCCAACCTTACATACAGACGTCTGTGGCAACAAGAGCTAACTACAAGCTTCCCTATCGATTCTTTGGGCCGTATCGTATCATCGAGAGTATCAACAACATCACCTACAAGCTGCAACTACCAGTTCACTCTCAAGTGCACCTAGTCTTTCATGTGTCACAGTTGCGGTGCGCCCTGCTACCAGGTACCTCTCCATCCATCGATCTTCCTGCGTATTCTGACATCCCTGCTGTTCCAGAATCGATCGTTAATCGTCGATGACGCAAGCGCCACGGCGCCATGGTGGAGCAAATACTGGTGCGCTGGTCCAATCCTGCAGCAGTCCCAGATTCCTGGGAGGACAAGGGAGCTCTCCTTGCTCAATTTCCGGCAGTGGCGGCTTGGGCACAAGCCTCATCTCAAGAAGAGGGGGATGTCAGCAGCCCTGACTTGCCAGCCCCACCGACCAGCGACTCACACGAGCCTACGATCGACCTGCGTCCACAATGTAATAGGAAGCCCAACTCGCGGGTCACTGGGCCGGCATGGACCAAGTAAGCCCAACCTCACCTGCTACTTCTAGGACTTGCAACGAAAGGCCAGGTCATCCAGAGGATCAGGCACGACACTGGCGGCGGCTACCAATTGTTCTTCCTCTTCCACGATTCCCAAATAACAGACACTATTCTTGTAACCAAATTGATCTGTATTGAGCTACTACTTCAGAGAGCCTATAGATCGATCCTTACCACCCAGTTAGTTCCTTACACACCCTCAAAAAAAAGTTAGTTCCTTAGGGCATCTCCATCCGCGCCCCCAACAGGCCCTCCCCAGGCGATTTTGCCGCGCCGGCGCCAAAAAAAGGCCCCAGTCGCGCCCCCAGAAGCCCGTTTTTCGCCGGCTCGGGCCAAAACTGGTGCCGGCAGAGCCAGGCCGAACGCGGCGCCCTGGGGGGCGCTTGGGGAGCCGGCACAAGCGAAAAAGGCGCGTGGGCCCGCCCTGGAGGCGACCGGAGGGCCTTTTCCCGTCGTTTCTTGACGCTTTTCCCTCGCATCTCTCCCGCTCGCTCGCCTTCCTCCCGCCATTCTCTTCCTTTCTCCCGCCAAACCCCTCCCGCTCGCCGCGAAGAAGCACGCCATGCCGCCGAAGAAGTATGCCATGCCGCGCGCGGCGGCAACCGCGGCTGGCGTCGTGGCCCAGCCGAAGCAGAGGAAGCCGAGGGCGCCGCCATCGAAGCCACCGGGCATGTCGAACGCCGAGTGGAGGGTGGAAGTTCAGCGGCGCGAAGCAGTCACCACCGACAGGCGGAACAGGGCCATAGCCAAGAACGCCCGCGACAACGCGGCGCGCGCAGCGGCGTCTTCCTCATCGGCCGACCAGGCGGGGATGAATCCACCCGTCGTCAGCCACGCCCAGTACGCGCCCTAGGGACAGCAAGGCGCCGGATCTCCATGGGGTTCATCGTCGCTTGGCTACGCCGACGACGACGCGCACGGTGGGTTCAACCCAAATGTGACCTTCCCTCATGGTCACCCCGCTACGCGCACGCCCTCGCCCGCCTTCGTCGGCGTGCAGTACCCTCCATACAACTACTCGCTGCCCGCCGCCTACGCGTCCACACCGACGCCCCATCTCTACCGCGGACCGCTACCCTTCTCGCACCTCGGCGACGCCGACGACACGGGAGCCGACATGGAAGACATCATCGCGACAGGATCGATCGCGGCCGCCACGTCTCCCGGGTTCGCCACCCAGGACGAGGTAGTGGACCTCAGCGGCGACATGGAGGCCGAGCTCGGCTACGTCTACGGCGACGACGCGCAGGGACCCGAGAAGGAGGAGGAGGACGAGGAGGAGGAGGAGGAGGAGGAGGAGCCGGCTCCTGTTCCGATGAAGGGGCGCCAGAAGAAGAAGAAGCGGGCGGCTAGGTCAGGCGAACCGCGCATCAAGTGGGCGTCCAAGGAGGAGGAATGCCTCGCCGAAGCATGGAAAGTCGCCTGCCTCGACCCGACCACCGGCGCGAACCAGAGCTTGGAGAAGTACTGGGACCGCATCAAGGCCGAGTTCGACGAGCGGAAGCTCGTCGACCCCTACTTCAAAGGCGTCTACATGCAGCCTAGCACCGAAGCAGCTCCAACACCGACGAGCCCGCGCACGCCGACTCCGCCAAGGCCTGGAGCCGACCCCGCCGAGTGAATCGTTGCGCACGCGAACTTGCGGCGGCGCGCTCTGTTTTTTGTAACGCCAGACTACGTCCGATCGCCGGATTTGCGGCGTCTTTTGAGAGCGGGAACGACCAAATTTAAATTTCCCGCATCCTAGGGCCGGCGCGTGGGGGCGTGACTGGGAGCTAGGTCGCCCCAGGGACCGAACTAGCACCGGCACGCCCCCAGGCCGCTCTATTTAGGCGCCCTGGGGGGCCAAACGGTTGGAGATGCCCTTACACACACTCCCCCCGCGTGTGCCCATTCGTGCTCCGCATGCGTGGTTTGATTTGATTGAAACAAAATAAGACCCGGCCCCACCCCCTTAAAATCAGGGGAAAAATAATTAGATTAGAAAAAGAAAAGGAAAAAAAATAGCCGTAGGATGAAGTAGGAGCACGGATGGGAGCATGGGTTGGAAGCAGGTAAGCCGGATCCCTCTCCGTTACCCGTGCGTCCCCCCTAGCGCCGAGTGCCGCTTCATTCTCCGTCCCCAATCCGCCGGCCACGCTGCGCTGCTCCACGCCCCCGACCTCCGACCCGACCGTGCGCTCCCGGCTCGACCACGTCGTTCATCGCCCGACAATGGCCTGCTGCGTGCGTCTCTGCACCGGATCTCGTAAACAAACCATGCATGCATGCACTGATCTGAACAAGTGGAGTACACGTGCACGCACGCACGCACTCAAACACTGGGAGCGAGGGAACAAGGGCACAGACGCCACAGTGTTTTGGCCAGGCTCGGAACCTGAAAACAATGATAGATTTTCAAAATGGCCTCGGGGGTTTCGATCGGCCACGGGGCCCGACCGCCCGCGACACCGCCTCGGCCAGCCGCCCCACCCGCGCAGCCACGTCCGGCGGCAGCGCCGCCGCCGCCCGCCGCGCCTTCCTGCTCGGTCCCAGCAGCGGCCCCAGCATCTCCACCACCTCCTCCGCGCCCCACCGTCCCCTCCTCAGCTCCCCGCAGCACCGGTCCACCGTCAGCGGCAATGCCACGTCCACGTTCGCCTCGCCGTTGGGACCCGTCATCTCCTCCACGTCGCCGTCGTCCCACCCGCCGCGCGTCAGCGCGGAGCCTGCCTGCTCTAGGCTGCGCCGCAGCCACTCTGGCTCTGGCGCCGAGGTGGTGTTCGTGGTCGTAGCGCGCGTGGGGACGACTTCAAGAAAACGGTCCCCGGCCGCGGCGGCGTCGCTCCAGAACTCGATCCAGCGCGGAGCCCTGCCGGTGACCGAGTCCAGGCTCCGGCGCGCCGTGTTCGAGGGCGTCGCGGGGGACGGCGTCACCGGCGCGGACAGCTGGCGCCGGAGCGGCGGCGGCTCGGCCTCGGCGGCGAAGGCGCGCAGGAGGAAGTCGGCCACGTTGGCGCCCGCGAACGTCACGCCGGAGTCGGACACGTGGAACACCGGGTTCCCCACCAGGCAGGGCGTCGCCGGCACGTAATGACGGCCGCAGAGCGGGACGAGGGGAGGCGGAGGCCTCCCAGCGCGTCGGCCGGGGGCGAGGGGCAGCGTCGCGGCGACGGCGGCGGGGACCTCTTGCGCGACGAAGCGGAGGAGGCGGAGCCCAGCGGACGAGCGGTAGTGCGGGAAGTCGTCCCCCGAGGGCACGCCCACCGCCAGGAGCTCGCGGAGGTCGGGCGGGAGCTGGACGCCGCCGAGCGCGGCCTCCACAAGGGCAAGCTCGGTTGCGGAGAGGCCCGGGAGGACGGGCACCCCGGCCGCAGCGAGGTGAGCGAGAACCACCGAGGCGGAGGCCGGCGCCGCCGCGGAGGGAGATGGAGGAGCCGGGCTACTGGGTGCCGAGGCGCGGGTGGAGAGCCGGCGAAGACCGGCAGCGTGGTAAGGATGGCGCGGGAGGCCGTGCGGGAGCGGCGGCCGGTGGTAAACGTCGACCATTGCTAGGTCGCCGGCGAAGTCGGTGCGGGAGCAGGAAGTGGTGTTTGGACTTGGATGCGGAAGGCTGTGGCGGCTTCTGCCGTGTGTTTGGTAGAAGAAAGATCCTCGAAGAAACAATATAAGTAGTGAGAACTAGTACTATAGAATGTCAATATATGGACTTTAGTTTGCACTTGGTATGAATAAGGAAGTAAATAATGTTGTCACTATATGAAAAATAATAATTAGAAAAGAATAATTAGGCAATTATGCCATTCCATTTCCAGAATTTTGCATGCCCGGTTACTTTTTAGGGAACCATGCTTAGTTACTACTAGAGGGTGATACATGCTTTGTCGCCCGTGTCGTGAGATAAGTTTGCGGGCTCTTATGGTTAGAGGTGATCACTTTTACATCAAAAATCGAAGAATCGAACCAGACTGAGTCGATCGATTTTCATGTTTTATTCGGTTTATAGTGTTCAGTCTGATGTTTTCATCACTAATTGTTTGTGTTTGGGCGTGTCCTGTTTTAATTTTCATCCTACATGCATAAACCAAATTAACCATCCATATACACCGAAATGGACCTCCATTTTCTCCAACTTCCCTACTTTGGTTGCACTGGTATGCATGACCTTAGAGCATCTACAGTAAGACATAGCAAATCCAGGTCCTCAAATGCCCGCGGACGCGCCTGTGCGCGTCCGAGGACAATGACCGGGCACACCATGTATGTTGGCTTTCATACACGTGTCCCTCATATCCGAAACCTCAAAACCATGCAACATACGTAAAACATGATCAACACGCAGTTCACCCGATCAATATAATTATAGTTCATCGGAGTTCAAAGGTGGACATTGCAAACCCATAGTTCCATACTACAAGCTACTTAAAACAAAGATAAAATATAATTAGAACGGGGAAGGGCTGAGGAAATCACCATTTCCTAGTCGGCACCATCCTCTTCCGATCATCGGCGTGGCTGTGCCTCTCCTTCATGTAGGCGTCGGCATGCGAAGGTGTGTCATCATCAGAGCTGAAGGTGGCTAGGTCGGAGTTGGAGCTGCACCTTTTTCTCGGCAGCCTGCGGAGCAGGAGGTCCTGCTCCTTCGCATGGCGGGCCGCTTTCGCCTTCGCCGCAACCTCTTTGTTTGCCTCGTGCTCCAACAACTTGATGACCCAATGGTGGTCGGGTACCACTTTCGGAGCAGAGGGGGGTGGTGGTGGGTGGCGTACCTGAAGGAGAAGAGCAGAGTAACCGGAACCGCGCTCCGAGCGGGAAGGGCCGGCGACGTCGCCTGTGCTATGACGGGCGCTAACGAAGTAGATCCGCCGCTGCCGGATCCGCCTTGGTCGAGCTTTGAACGCCCCAACACGCCGCGGAGGGCGACCTCCTCCACATCATCGGGCTCCGCTTCGCGCAACAGGCTCGCCCAGTCATCGTCGAAGCCTGATTCCCCACCGGAGGCAGCACTACTTCGGCTGTTGGCCATCAAATTGAAGGAAATATGCCCCAGAGGCAATAATAAAGTTATTATTTATTTCCTTATTTCATGATAAATGTTTATTATTCATGCTAGAATTGTATTAACCGGAAACATGATACATGTGTGAATACATAGACAAACATATAGTCACTAGTATGCCTCTACTTGACTAGCTCATTAATCAAAGATGGTTATGTTTCCTAACCATAGACATGTGTTGTCATTTGATTAATGGGATCACATCATTAGGAGAATGATATGATTGACATGACCCATTCCGTTAGCCTAGCACTTGATCGTTTAGTATGTTGCTATTGCTTTCTTCATGACTTATACATGTTCCTGTAACTATGAGATTATGCAACTCCCGTTTACTGGAGGAACACTTTGGGTGCTACCAAACGTCACAACGTAACTGGGTGATTATAAAGGAGTACTACAGGTGTCTCCAAAGGTACATGTTGGGTTGGCGTATTTCGAGATGAGGATTTGTCACTCCGATTGTAGGAGAGGTATCTCTGGGCCCTCTCGGTAATGCACATCACTATAAGCCTTGCAAGCAATGTGACTAATGAGTTAGTTGCGGGATGATGCATTATGTAACGAGAAAAGAGACTTTCCGGTAACGAGATTGAACTAGGTATTGGATACCGACAATCGAATCTCGGGCAAGTAACATACCGATGACAAAGGGAACAACGTATGTTGTTATGCGGTTTGACCGATAAAGATCTTCGTAGAATATGTAGGAGCCAATATGAGCATCCAGGTTCCGCTATTGGTTATTGACCAAGAATAGTTCTAGGTCATGTCTACACAGTTCTCGAACCCGTAGGGTCCGCACGCTTAAGGTTTCGATGACAGTTATATTATGAGTTTATGAGTTTTGATGTACCGAAGGAGTTCGGAGTCCCGGATGAGATCGGGGACATAACGAGGAGTCTCGAAATGGTCGAGACGTAAAGATCGATATATTGAATGACTATATTCGGACTTCGGAAAGGTTCCGAGTGATTCGGGTATTTTTCGGAGTACCGGAGAGTTACGGGAATTCGCCGGGAGAAGTATTGGGCCTTATTGGGCCATACAGGAAAGAGAGAGGGGCTGCCTAGGGCAGGCCGCGCGCCCCCCAAGGCCTAGTCCGAATTGGACTAGGGGGAGGGGCCGCACCCCCTCCTTCCTTCCCTTCTCTCTTCCCTTTCCTTCTCTCCTACTCCTACTACATGGAAGGTCTCCTAGTTGGACTAGGAAAGGAGGGTGTCCTACTCCCGGTGGGAGTAGGACTCCTCCCTGGCACGCCCTCCCTTGACCGGCCGCCTCCTCCTCCATTGCTCCTTTATATACGGGGGCAGGGGGGCACCCCATGACACACAAGTTGATCTACGGATCGTTCCTTAGCCGTGTGCGGTGCCCCCCTCCACCATATTCCACCTCGGTCATATCGTCGCGGAGTTTAGGCGAAGCCCTGCGCCGATAGAGCATCATCATCGTCACCACGCCGTCGTGCTGATGGAACTCATCCCCGACACTTTGCTGGATCGGAGCCCGGGGATCGTCATCGAGCTGAATGTGTGCTGAACTCGGAGGTGCCATACGTTCGGTACTTGGATCGGTCGGATCGTGAAGACGTACGACTACATCAACCGCGTTGTCATAACGCTTCCGCTTACGGTCTACGAGGGTACGTGGACAACACTCTCCCCTCTCGTTGCTATGCCATCTCCATGATCTTGCGTGTGCGTAGGAATTTTTTTTTGAAATTACTACGTTCCCCAACAGTGGCATCCGAGCCTAGGTTTTATGCGTTGATGTTATATGCACGAGTAGAACACAAGTGAGTTGTGGGCGATACAAGTCATACTGCTTACCAGCATGTCATACTTTGGTTCGGCAGTATTGTTGGATGAAGCGGCCCGGACCGACATTACGCGTACGCTTACGCGAGACTGGTTTTACCGCCGTCCTTTGCACATAGGTGACTAGCGGGTGTCAGTTTCTCCAACTTTAGTTGAACCGAGTGTGGCTACGCCCGGTCCTTGAGAAGGTTAAAACAGCACCAACTTGACGAACTATCGTTGTGGTTTTGATGCGTAGGTAAGAACGGTTCTTGCTAAGCCCGTAGCAGCCACGTAAAATTTGCAACAACAATGTATAGGACGTCTAACTTGTTTTTGCAGGGCATGTTGTGATGTGATATGGTCAAGATGTGATGAGATATAAGTTGTTGTATGAGATGATCATGTTTTGTTGAAGTTATCGACAACTGGCAGAAGCCCTATGGTTGTCTCTTTGTTGCATAAGATGCAAGTGCCAAATAATTGCTTTACTTTATCGCTATGCGATAGCAATAGTCGCAAGAGCAATAGTTGGCGAGACGACCATGTGACGACACATTGATATAGATCAAGATGATGAAGATCATGGTGTCGTGCTGGTAACGATAGAGATCATGACAGTACTTTGGAGATGGAGATCAAAGGCGCAAGATGATCATGGCCATATCAAGTCACATATTTTGATTGCATATGATGTTTATCTGTTATACATCTTATTCTGTTTTGTTTGACGGTAGCATTTTAAGATGATCTCTCACTAATTATCAAGAAGTGTTCTCCTTGAGTATGCACCGTTGCGAAAGTTCTTCGTGCCGAGACACCACGTGATGATCGGGTGTGATAGGCTCTACGTTCAAATACAACGGGTGCAAAACAGTTGCACACGCGGAATACTCAGGTTAAACTTGACGAGCCTAGCATATACAGATATGGCCTCGGAACACGGAGACCGAAAGGTCGAGCGTGAATCATATAGTAGATATGATCAACATATTGATGTTCACCGTTGAAACTACTCCATCTCACGTGACGATAGGACATGGTGTAGTTGATATGGATCACGTAATCACTTAGAGGATAAGAGGGATGTCTATCTAAGTGGGAGTTCTTAAGTAATATGATTAATTGAACTTAAATTTATCATGAAATTAGTCCTGGTAGTATTTTGCAAATTATGTTGTAGATCAATAGCTTGCGTTGTTGCTTTCATATGTTTATTTTGATATGTTCCTAGAGAAAATTGTGTTGAAAGATGTTAGTAGCAATGGTGCGGATTGGATCCGTGATCTGAGGTTTATCCTCATTGCTGCACAGAAGAATTATGTCCTTAATGCACCGCTAGGTGACAGACCTATTGCAGGAGCAGATGCAGACGTTATGAACGTCTGGCTAGCTCAATATGATGACTACTTGATAGTTTAGTACACCATGCTTAAGGGCTTAGAATCGGGACTGTTGGGGAACGTAGCAGAAATTCAAAATTTTCCTACGTGTCACCAAGATCTATCTATGGAGAAACCAGCAACGAGGGGAAGGAGAGTGCATCTACATACCCATGTAGATCGCTAAGCGGAAACGTTCAAGAGAACGGGGTTGAAGGAGTCGTACTCGTCGTGATCCAAATCACCGGAGATCCTAGTGCCGAACGGACGACACCTCCGCGTTCAACACACGTACAGCCCGGTGATGTCTCC